GAGACCCTACACTTCATCTTCAGTGTTTGAGAAAGCCCATACTCAGCCAGAGTTAGAAATGCTGTCATGCAGCATGGACTACTTGCTCTGCCCTCTGACAGCTCACCCAGCCCCTCAGCTAGCCTCTCCTTTCAAAGTTGATATTTAGTTTCATTCCTGGCAAACTGTCACTTCAGTCTGGCCCTATTTTAACATCTGAAAAAATATCTATTGTTCTGCTGTGGCCACCTGCTACCACCCCAGGCCAAAAATATCCAGGTACTTGGAAGAACAGTGTTAGCTGACACCTAATACATGTAAAGACAGCCTGACAAATGGAAGATCTTAAAATCTTTTATGAATGAACGGGACTTGGTTTCTACCTCCACGTGTAAGTTAACACCGTTGTTCCCTTTAAAAAGGGACTGCAGCAATGGGAACTAATATACCATATAATTATGCGAGGTGTGATAAAATGGAGAATTTATTTCAAGGTGGAAGTTAATGAGCAGGAACAGAGAAAAACAAAGGGGCAATAGGCAGCCTTCAGAACTTAAATGAGAATTTTACAGTAATAACTAATGGTTAGTAACCAGGCATCAACAAACTTGTCATGAATGATGACTCACTTTATGGTGGATTACAGTGGATCCCATTACACATCACTTCCTGAAGAGAGCAGGACCAGAGGAATGACCCAGGCTGCCTCTGCCCAGCATTCAAAAGTTCAGTGTGTGGCAGTCTACAAAGACCTCAGTCTTAGCTTTCAGTAAATAACACAAAACAATCACCATGGGAACAGTGACTTTGCAATTCAGGTCACCTTTGAGTGAAAATACTCTTCACGAGGACTCTATCCAATTCCCACTGTCTTCCACAGAGTCTTCCCATCCGCTGCAAGAGGGGCTAAATAGACCTAAAAACATCTAGGTTTAGGAGCTGATCTTTTACACAGCAATTTCACCTTGAAAAATAATGGAAGTGAGTTTACCTGCTGGCAGATGTGCCACCAGGAAGAATTACAGAGAAGGGATGAAGTAGCCGCTATTTACACTGTTGCACTCAAGGCAAATACTCCTGTGCCCCAGGTGGGGTATCCAGCAATTGCACGTTTGTCCATAGTCATGAAGAGCAAACAAGCGATTGGAGAATGGTCCTTTCATAAAGAACAAAGTCATAATCATCACAGATTTCAGATAAAACTTTATCCAGCACATTTACAGCTCTTGAGATTTCCCCCTCCCCACTCTTAAGTGAAGATCTTCTGAATTTCTTTCAGTGAAACAAGGCACAGTGATCTTGGTCATGGTGTTTGCGAAGGCAGATCACTCCCAACTTCTAATCGGTACTGCCCCTTCCCCTCCAACCCATTGAATCACAAATCCAAACTCCTGAAAGACTTGGTGCATTTTGGCCATTGTACGTGTATAAACTCATGCCTGACAATAACCTGTATTCTTTGCTTCCATGTACGTTATTTAGCATTAAGCTGTATTTATGAATCTTGTCAAAATAGGCTTTAACAACTTGACAAAGTTACTCATCTGCAGTGTAATTTACTACCCTATCCATCCTTGTATTTTCTGCATAACAAGCTGAAAGAGGTTTACTAACAAAACAAAAACCTGCCCCAGGAAGACTGAGGAAATGTGATATATTTATTTGAGAATTAATGAGATTTAGGACATTAACCTGAGACTTCCAGCAAGTTTTTTCCCCAATGGCTTTCTTTCCTTCCTCCTTTGTTGTGATCATGGTTTTCTGCACTGACCTGCTGTAATTTCTCCAGAACAGTACTCAAAACCACAGCTGTCATATCACAAATTTTTTTACATTTACTGAAACCAAACAAACTTGTGGAGGATCCATGATAATTTATGCACATACAGTTAAGTCAGGGATGTTGCTTGTAAGTGTTTTATGAGTAACCACCAATTTCCCTATTAACGTATTTCAAGACTTTAACATTCCTTAAAAATAATTTCAGAAAATTACTTACTGCATGATGGTTTTCTATAACATGGATGAAAGTAATGTGGTTCATTCAAACCAGGTGCCACATTTGGCAGAGGTGGATGGCTAGCTATCAGAAAGCAGCATATATTATGTCTTGAAGTTTGCATCATATTCATCCTCATGCCAGAGGTTCTCTGTATTTTCCAGACTATGACCCCTCTTTCCCACTCTCATTAGGGCTCAGTGTTTCTTTTGTTGTCAGGGGATTACAAATGTGCGGAAAGACAGAAGCTCAGAATGGCATACAAGTAATTTTAGTAGAGGAGAGAGTCTGCAGCTTGTTTTCAGGAATTAGAAAGACATCAGCTATTGTCAGGATCAAATAATATAAGGAAAGTCAATCAACTTTTTTTTGTTAAGCTTGACATGGAGGAAAAAAAACCCCACAAAGAACACCCCTCCATAACTATTACTCTTTAAGAAAGGAAATTACACTGCCTTAATTCATACTGCATAAGGGTATTAAGTCTCCTAAAGCATTCAGCTTGCTCACTTTTTGACACTAAGTGCCAGCACTTATAAAGAGAAAACAGCCCTTTTCCATTTCAAATAATTCCTCTCGTGTGTCAATACTGAAGACCAAATGCAAAGTTAACTAAAGAATACATTCTACCCCAAATACATTCTACCCAACCTAATCACACTCAGATTAATTATTTGCTTTACAGAAAACATACTTTATCACCCACAGACTACTGGAGTCCAGGATGCTGAGGATTTAGGAAGAGACAGTTCTTAAGTTCCAGGTTCTTCCCAAGACGGAGAGAGTCGCTGTCCCCCCAGCAGCGGGCAGAACTGTTCTTTAAATTTTCCATTCAATTAAAATATATAAATTAAGAAACTTATGCATGGACTGAATGTTTAGAGAAGCCAGACTAACTAAATCCATAGCCTGTAATCCCCACTTGCAAATAGCTAAGTGCTGAGTTTGGCAACCTGGGTAACTCCTATCAGTTGTCTTAGAACAGCTTGACTATGGAGCAGACAAGTTACAGCAAAGTAAACTCGAGTTTCACTTAGAATTTACTGTAAATAGGGTCATAGTATAATTTAGATTGAAAGGGACCTCAGGAGGTCCCCAAGATTAACCTCCTGCACCCAGCATGGTCAGCTCCAAGGCCACGGGGCTCAGGGCTTTATCCAGCCTCCCAATGATAAGCTGCACAACCCCTCTGGGCAGCCTGTTCCATTGATTTACTGTCCTCCCAAAGGAGTTTCATTACCTTTAATCGGAACCTCCGGTCTCAAATTATGCCATCATCTCTCATCCTTCCACCACACACAACTGTAAAAAGCAGGCTACTTTCCTGACAACTTCTCCACGTTTACTGGAAGGCTGCTATTCGCTCCTCCTGAAGTTACCTCTTCTGTTACACTGAAGATCTTGTTTATGGGCAAAGAGGAAGCATAACATATATGTAAGTAAAGCTAAGAATTTATTGTTACAATATGGGAATCTTAACCTAACTGAAGGATTGCTATTAGCCTAGATCTAATTATTACAGGAAAAGAGATAATAATGCAGTTATTTTTATACAGAAGTAGTCACAGCAATACAGTTAAAATTGTAACACACATTTCTCTCTTTCTTTTCTAGGGGTTATTTGCACCCTTCTATTGCTCCTTTGGGTCTCAAAGTCAATAGCTCCAGACTGCTGGAAAGGATAACACGAAGCTGTCAGCATCTGGAGTCCTTTCTTGGGAGAAATATGCTGCTGCTTTCTTTCTCCTCCCTCTAGGATCTACTTGGGGTCCTTTTTATGTTTGCTAACATGCTTTTACATCTTTCTCTTTCCTCACTGAGCTACAGCTCCACTCTACATCCAAAGTATACGGTGATATACAGTACCCTTCACATGTTAGATACAATTTCCTTGTTCTGTTACTCCCTAAACACAGTTTTGTCCAGTTCTGGTTCTGCCTTTAAAAAAACCCCAACCAAACAAACAACAAAAACAAAAAACCCCACCCCCCAAACAACAAGCACATACTCGACCACTGGTGAGGGTCTCCAGTTCCATACACGTGCCCTATCATCCATCTGTACTTCTCCATGCTAGTCTGGAGTTTAAAACAAAAACCTCCATACACTTGTTCCAGGTGGTTGAAATCTTCCTGAACTGGGGAACCCCAAACCTGGACAGCGTTCTACATGTGGTCTAACACAAAATGCCAGATACACCATCATAAGTACTATCAATACTCACCTTCTGTTACTCATTAGTAATTGCAGTTTGTTTCCACTTCTAAAGGTCTCTGCTGTCATACCACACCAGCATTTCTCTCCACTACACCATTGTTTTGGTCATAAATATCTCCTTCTACATAAAATAACTGCTTATTACTCTTACATATGTAAAACTATGGTTGCACTGCACAAAAGTAAACAGAAGTAAAACAGATTAGCCACAGACACCTGACCAGTTAGAGAAATCATGGTTATAGCAAAGCTAAGTAAAACAAAGCTACAGACAGGTCAAGAAAAGTCCAGAAAGAGAAGCCTGTTAAGCCTCAGTCCTGAGGCCTTGCAGACTCAGTACTAAGCTTACAGCCTGTTACTAACAACAGTAATGAGATATTACAGTACTACGTCATTACCTTCTTCCAGATGAACAAGCCCCAGCCCCTGACCATCTTGGTGGCCCTCCATTAAACTTGCTCCAGGTGGTTGAAATCTTCCTTGAACTAGGGAACTCCAAAACTGGACAGTGTTCTACACGTGGTTTAACACAAAATGGCAGATACACCATTGTAAGTACTATCAATACTTACCCTCTGTTACTCATAGGTAATTGCAGCATATTAGCTATTCCAGGGAAGCTCCTACTTAAATTTACTTCCTTTAACTCCTCATACTCTTAGCTGGATACTGCTGCTTCTACCCCTACAGTCCAACTGGTAAAGCAGAAAAAGCTTTTTTGTTTTTTGGGTTTTTTTGACCCAGATAACTCCATACAGTATGAGACTGAAGAAATTGCTCACATTATATTCCTTCAGCTGCTGGGGAGGGGGCTAAAATCTCAAGCAGTTGATGACGGTGGTGGTAAGGTAGAACCAGCAAGTGCTTAACCATTCCAAATAAAACAAGAAAATTCACCCATTTATTTGGCTACTTAAGCATCTCCATCTAAAAGACTAAGTTACTGTCCTTTTTTCCCCACAACTAGGAACCCCAAAATTCAAAATGGTCTGGACAAGCTTAACTATCTTTTAGTTCAAATGGGGGGGGGAAAAACAAAGATGCCAAAGTCCAAATTTGAGATGGCATCCATGTGCCTTTTATTTCCCAGCATGTATCACCAGTGAAGCATTTGTGCAAACTCCTTATTTTCAGTTCTCACCTTCTTCCGCTTCCACCTTTTCCTTTGAGGCACAACATTATTTTCCTTTAGTTGACTTTCCTTCCCAAAGCCACTTAAAAACTGTCAATGTATCCTCAAGACCCTTTTGTCCCAAAGATTCCTTGAAAATCCGTGACCTTGCACAGCAGCTTAAAAGCACATGCATTTAAAAAAAGCTCATAAGGAGGTGGAAAACTCGAGATGTATTTTGTTGTTCCAAGTGCATCTAAGGAACACTTTGCTGATCAAACCTCAGTTATCTACAGTGTAACAGGCTGAGCCTTCCAGCCTGTTCAGTGATAAATCTATAGGGAGGATTTTGTTTAACAGACAGCCCTAGCATGAACTCTACAGACATACACGCCCCAGAGAGTCTCAGAAAGGGTATGTGTTGGGAAATGCCACACTGCTCACGGTAAGCCACCACGCCTGTAAGACAAATTCTGTGTGCTGCATGTTGGAAGGATGGGGAGGGGGCAGTACGCACAGGGAAGACAGACAGAACTGGAGAAAGCATTATGAAATTACTTAGACTCATAGGAAAATTCAGGTCAGAGGGGAGCTCACAGAGGTCTCCAGTCCACCCTCTTGCTCAAAACTGGGTAAGCTACAAGGCTGGACCATGCTACCCATGGCTTAATCCAGCCTTCTTTTGAAAGCCTCCAAAAGAGAGACAGAACAACAAATCTCTCCAGGCAAGCTAGTCCACTCTCTGACTTACATCTTGGCAGAACTTGCCCTGTTTCAACTTAAGCCTGTTATATGTCTCATCCTCCCACCACACAACCCCTGATAACAGTCTTGCTTCATCTCATTCAGTAGCCTCTCGAAGTTCAGCTACATGCTTCAGCATCTTTGATTACAAAAGTAGTCAGAATTTCTACAGGACAAGCAAAGTCTGTGTTTTTAGTGAAATGCAGCAGAGGTGCAAGTGAACTGACCTTCCAAGAGGCTCTGTTTGATCCTAGTGGTAAGAAGGAACTCCAGTCATTGGAGTAACTAGAGACAACAGCTGCTCTTGCAAAAGAGGGGGCTTACATTTCATTAATTATTTTACAGTATTAGTATTGTAGATAAAATCATCCAGACTGATAAATGAAGTGTCACTTCCTGAAAAAACAAATTCCAGATAGCAAACCCTTAGCACCTCAGATCAAGGGATAAACAATCAACCTTATTAAACCAACAAACCAAGTTTATTTATAGAAGTCTGTACAATTGTGATGAACTATGCTAGGACACCAGTGAAACAAAGCAAACAAATCTCTCCCTCTCTAATGAGTGGGAGGTGTAGTCACTCACCTTTACATGCACTTAAAGGAAAAAAGATTACAGCTTTCATACACAGTTCTGTAACTATTCAAGAGTACTTTCTTGATGTATTATTCTCAATATAAGAGGTTTGTATGATAACTTACTGACTGTTGCCCCTCTTAAAAACAGTATTTCAGCAGAATCCAGAGACTTTGAGAGGGTAAGCGGCAGTTTCATAGCTGCAGATAAGTGGGACATAGTCCACCATTCAAACCTGCATTCTAAACTTACCGCATTCTCCTCTCGTTTCGGTTATCTCCACTAAAAGTTACTCACAACACTGTACAGGTCTCGTCGACATTTTGGCTGTAGTATAGACTATCCCTGTGTTACCAAATGTAGGAGTTACCTAAAACCAATATATCAAGGGCAAACATATTAAAAATACTGAATTTGAGTTAACTTTACCTTTAGAGACCACTCGTCACTGAGCCTCAGAGCTCTGAGGCCTTTCTGTGGAAAAATCAGTTCCTGAATCGCTTGATTTTGCAATTAATTTCTGAAAAGCATTGGAGAGTGATTTTTTTGAAAACTGGCTATTGTAAAATAAGTTTAGATTTTTTTATTACAAATCTGTATCATCATTGAAGCTGTTGAAAAAACAAAAAACATATCAAATGCATATCTACACAGTGAATCACGATGTCTCCTATGAAGTTGTCATGGTAGATTCCATAAACCCACTCTTAAAAAGTTAAAAGTACATATACGTGAGAGCCTACTACAACTCCAGAGAAGCTGCTAAAATAGGCCATCAAATAAAGCAGTCTATGATTACTTATTTACAGAATAACCCACATGTGTCCTAGAACTATGGACTATGCAGTAAATAAGTATTAAAGGATTCCTAATTATTCGTTTACATAGTAGAGAAGAGCTGCTTCATAGGCTGATTTTCTTTTTATACACAGTTCATAGTATCAATCTGCACACAATTACATGATGTTTCTTTAAAGCTACTATTAAAAAAGGAAGAGAAAGTTAAATAAGAACTAGATTAAAGTTTCATTAAGAATCCAACAAGAAAGTATCAAACACAGGTTTAAACGTAACCAGTGCATGATTTCAGAAAAACAGTAATGCTCTGACACAAGAAGAGCATCAGCATTTTCCCTCTTCAGGGTCCCCCAGAAACATTCCTATCCAGTTCAGTGCTTAAGTTATTATATATGTACTGGCCTGAGTAGGAACAAACACGTGCTTGCACGCTTACCTGAACGAGGGCCTCTAACCTTTTAGACTTCTAATTCTCTTTTAATTTAGTTCTTAGCTCCATATATTCAGTTGTATCTTGTTTGGAAAAGTTCTTTGTTAAATGTCACTTATATTTACAATCTGATTTTTTTTTTATTTTTATTTTTTTTTAACACCTGAGTGATAATTTAGCTGTCACCTTGTGTCCAGTCAAATATTCCATAAAGCCATACAATTCTTGTGCTAGTGTTGCACTCCACTTGTACTGGTTTATACATGAAAAACGTACATCAGCTACCTCTCATACATTGCCCACTGACCTTTCTACTATGTCCTTACTGTGTCCTTCCCCTTCCACACAAAGTGATTTTTTTTTTTTTTTTTAAATTTTTTGTTTGTTTATAGAAGCCCCTTTTAAATGGTTCACAAAGCAAGAAACAAAGTGAGCTGGAGCCCAGTGAAGACACGATGACTTAACAAATATGTAATATTGGAGGCTTGAAGAACAAATTAAAGCCCAACCAATGAGCACCCCAGGGCCATCCCAGAAAAAGCTACTCCACTCAGTTATAGCTGGAGACTCCAGATGTGCTATAGATGACAAGTCCCACATCAAGAGCTGTGTACCTCTCTCATCAGTTAAGTGTAAGTAAAAAAATGGAACATGAAGTTAAACAGCTATATCAGCCAAGCCGTTTTAGTAAGAAGAATCACATTTAATGAGTTTCTTTCTTGCAGTTTCAGATGCTCAAGTACAGCTGGTAGAAATTCAAAACAGCCGTAAAGAACTGTGACAGACGGATACAAATAGTACTGCAGCTTAAAAATGATAAAAAACACCTGAAAAAAAGTCACACAACCCTCCCAAAAAAATTTACACTTTGAACCTAAGCCAGTTTTTGAAGATTCCCTTCTCCAAAGCTAGGATGAAGGAGGAAAAAGAGGAGGAAGAAAGTGCAGATGACCTTCCAGCCACAAAGGTCTTGCGCCAATGTTTATTCACCATGCCTGTGGTGGTATGTAAAGGGAGATCACCAAGTGCGGATTCTGCGGCCACCAAGAGATTCCTATGGAAATCCAGACCTCAGGCTAATACTGAACACAGAGTGGACCAACGAGCTGCATCAACAAAATAAAAACAAAACTCAAACTAAAAGAAATGGGAAAACCCCAAATAGCACAGATCCACATTTGTGAGGGGGGCAGGAAGAAAGGGCAAGAAGGGAGGTCTATACAGTAAATAGTTGAATGGTTTATGTTACAGATGACTGGCAGTTTTAGAGTCTCTTCCCAGCTCCATTGCTGCTCCAACCCAGAAGGGAGAACTGAAAAGGGAGGAAGAAAAGGTAGGACATCGTCATGGAGCATGCAGGATCAGAAGCAGCAGAGTGGGCATGCTCAAATAAGCCCCCGCCTCTTTTTGTAGTCCTCCAAGTTCAATGATCGCCGAGGGGCACCATCTTTTGCTGGTGGAGCCTTGGAGGTGATGGCCAGTGCCTTAGATTCTGTTGGGGACAAGAAAAGAGTGAGGACCGAAATACATGAAAACTACAGATTTTCACTTGTTGCTTTTGCTCACAACTCCACTACAAAATCACATTTGGCTTCTCTAATATACATCAGGTTAGAGCTTCAGTTACTAATACAGGCAATATCTGATAGCTTATCTTCACAGATAAAGCATGTGCAATTTTGACTCTGTTAATCCTGCTTTCTGCCGGTAAGTAGTATTCCTTCATTACTCTGTAGCACACTGAATTCACAATACAAACAGAGCCTTCAGGCTCAGTTCTGGGGTCTTTGATAAATCATCCCATGAGAACAGCAAGCACAAAGAGACACATAATAAGCGGATAGAAGTCAAACTTCATATCCATGTCTACAACACACATTTTAACCAATCCCCAGGTTCTTCTGTTAAGAAAGGAAACTGCACAAAGTAAGATGCCAAAATGGTGTTCTGCCTGAGGAAAAAAAAAAACCAACCCCAAACAGCCATATGTAAAACTCTACCTATACTGTGTGTCTCGTTCTTCTCTTTTCAGTCACATTCCTGGTTTTCAGTGTCCTTCAGTGCCTAACCCTCATCTGCTTGCTAACTCTCTGAAGTTCATAACTCCCACTACCTGCTTCAAGAAGTCTCCTATTCTTGGCATCCCACCTCATTCTGTAGTCTTATATCCAGAGTTCCAATCTCAACCTAGTTTGGAAAGACAACCTCTCCTACTTTCCCTTCTTGACAAGGTTGTAAGTCTTTGTGTGTTCTTACTGTACTTCCTAAATTGTTGTCCTCCAAGAAACTTCAGCTCTAATCCTCATGAGTCAAATTGCACTAGTATACTCCCATGCTTTCCCTCCACTGGAAAACAGCTTGATGGGATGAGAGGAAACAACCTCAAGTTGCACCAGGGGAGGTTTAGATTGGGTATTAGGAAAAATTTCTTCACCAAAAGGGTTATCAAGCATTGGAATAGGCTGCCCAGGTAACGGATGAGCTGCCATCCCTGCAGGCATTTAAAAGACATGTAGATGTGGTGTGTAGGGACATGGTTTAGTGGTGGACTTAGTAGTTTTAGGTTAACAGTTGCACTCCATGATCTTAAGGGTCTTTTCCAACCTAAATGATTCTATGATACTAAACTGTTCTTGCCACACATCTCAAGCTCTCAAAGCCAGGATCACAAAGAGGAAAGGGTCAGCAAGTTTGTGTCAATAAGCATACCTTCACTCCCTGCCCAGTGTTTTGGTTCCCCTAAAATTTTGCTTCAATACTATTTGCAATACCAAAGTTAAGGAACAGCAACTCAGGAAAGCAGCAGGTTCAAAATCAAAAAAAAAAAAAAAAAAAAAAAGCATCATCCACATAGAATGTACACAGATTATGGAGCAGGACATTACAGACACTCAAAGTTTATCTGTCCTCAAAAGTGATTAGACACATTAATGAAATAAGTAGCAAGGTAGATATCAATTAATACAATACTCTTGTCTGTTCCCCAAAGATTAAGCAAGTCACAGATACTGTAGACTGGAAAAGTACACCAGAAAAAACTCATTACCTCCTTTTCTCCCTAGGTATTTGGAGTAAGGATATGGGGATATACAGCCTTTCAGTCTAACACAATACAGTTGTTCTTGTTTTCTCAATGGATGTCACTAGCACACATCCCCTCCTCCTCAGTTCAAGGTACTTGCCAAGATGACAAACCCTGAGCCCTCACTCCTGTTTTCAGAAGCCCACCAATGATTTTGAAAGAACTATTCTGTAAGAAGTGAGCTCTACCATAATGACATGGACAGTCACATCCACAAACTCAGCTGGAACACCTACCTGAACTGGGAACCTGAAGATCAATCTTTACATCAAAGTCATGCACTTTGAAAAGATCTTCTGAGAGGTCACTGGCTGATTTAGAGTTCACATCTTTATCCTTCCCTTGACCCTGAAATAAAAACTACAGGTAAGTCTTCAACCCTTATCTGTGCAGATAAACAGAGATTAAAATGTTGTACCCCAGTTCTGTCACAAACGTGCTTAGTTTAGCCTTCATACTGCTAGAAAAACTTTGTTTTCTTTCCCCAAGAAAGAGAAAGCTGTTTCTTTTCTACGATAATGCTCTACAGGATACCTATTTCTAGAACTGAAGCATGCACATCTACTATTAGTCATAAGCTCCTAGAGCAAAACAGTGACAGTAGGAGGAATGTAACAGAAGACAGAAATGGAAACTTGCCTTACTCATGTCCTTTGGAGCATCTGGTAACACACCAGACCCGTATTTTGCATTTAGCTGGGCAAGGATGGCAGCTTGGACAGCAGGATCTCTGGACTGAGGAGGGGAAAAAGAAAAAATAAGGAAAAAGAAAGAAAAAAAAAATCACCATATTTAAATTGGCAAAAACTATACTGCCATTTTGTTAAAACAGCACTCATATCCACAAATCTAAAACCATAAGTGGCTGTAGCCCAATTGGTAGATTGGTAGCCCAGTCTTCAGGATCTCAGAGAGAACTGAAATAATCCTGATACCTGTTTAATGCATCTGACAGTAACAAACTAAAAGTCATCCTTCAAAGTCTTTCTTTGAGAAAACGAGAAATACATTTTCCATTGATATGGTTTGCTCCTGTGACTAGTCTTAATACTACTGTCAGATGCATTTGCTCTCAGCTCACAGTTCTGGCTGAAACACTCTACTAGAGAGAGGAAATCTTCAGAAAACTATTTGCTTTACATAATTGTTGTCTACCATAATAAAGCTACTCAGTTATGATTCTTTTCTAATAACGAATTATTTCAGAAATAATTGTTTAATTCAAGACCTGCAATAAAATTCCTTCCCTATTCCCTTGCCAGTTTATGGAGACTGATGAGGGCCAGACTGACTTTTTTTTTTTTTTTTTTTTTTTTTTAAAGTACCGGTACCAGAATTGTATACATTCTACAACAGGCCTCAACAAAGCCAGGTTGCTTAGAGGTAGGAGCTGATCACCTTGCTACCCATCATTTATATAGCTAGGGACTGCAATAGCACATTTTGCCACAGCATCACGGGGAAAGTTTCTGTTAAACTACTTTATCCAACACAGGCCCAAAATGTCTGGTCTCCTCTCTCTTCTCACAGATCTTTCAGGAAAGTTTCAATTACTTAGAAGTGAAACTCACACCTAAAGCAAACCGTCTTCCTGGAGCTAACCAAATCTGAGTAATTCTACATAAAAAAACTCACTACATAATTCTAAACCACAGTTGCTTCTCCATGTACATACCCACATGACTTATGTCCTTCATACTTTCCATAAAAAAAAAAAAAAAATTTGCTTTTTCCTTCTTTTGGGATAGCGAGACCAGGATCTCACTTAACTGTATCTCACCCTGGCATCTGGAGCGTTAATAGCATATGACACAGTTGGGAATGAACACAAACAACATTTTCCTTCCTACTCTCTGCATTATATTGGTTTCTATTTCTCTGGAAATTGCCTCAATTGAACTCAAGTATTACACTCACATTAGACACTATCGTGGGCTTGCACTGCCGCCTAGTAAAGGGGTCCATTTGTTGGTTTTTCATGCTGTGACTTTCAGCCTGAAGAATAGAAAGCACATGGTTTTGCAGAGTTAGCTACTTGTACCCTTGTAAATCCTCCCACAGCACCCCGTCCATGCAAGCACTCAGCAGCTATATATAAAATCAAGATCAGAGGAAAACCAGCAACAGCAGTAAAGATTAGAACGATTTTGACACACCCACAGTCCTATGCTTCACTGGGCAAAACTGTCTTTTCTGAATATAACACAAAGTAGGCGCACAACTCTCAGGATAGTTAAGGCTTAACCATTTGTTAACAAGCTTAACTTTTCCTTAATAGAAGTGTTACTGCAGAGAATTGAGTATTTCCTTTACTATTTTATTCTCTGAAGTCTCCTTTCTGATTTCTTTCCCATACAAAATGCACTAAGTCACTATTACAGTCAGTAATCCACTGGTAACTGAGTTGATCAAAAGGATAAAATGCTTTAAAATCATGTAATTTGCCTATATGAAAGACTTTATAGATCATTACAAAAAATTAATAACTTCACCATGCAATTAACCCCCTTTGCACCACTTCATCTCTACTGGTACAGAAGTATTAATTCAGCACTATTTACCACAAGAGCCTTCTCGGACTCAACGATATTCCATTCTCTATTTCTCTGGTTGATGTAACTGCAGAAAAGAAAAAAAGGAGGGTGGGGGAAAGAAAAAGAAAGTGACTCATTTATTAATCCCTACACAACAAAACACCTGACAGCTTCATCCTGATCACAAATTACTCTTATTGCAACACAACTGCTACCTGGGGTATGTGGAAGAGAGTTTACATTTATGACAGTTTTAACTGAATGACAGATACAAGGAAGTGAGCACTAATAGAGCTATCGTGACACATATTTCATCAATATATTGTACAGGAAAGAAGAGACAAAATCTTGCAGTTAATTCACTACTACTTTAGCTTCTCTTCTTTGTATATTTTGATTGATACCATTTAGGAAAGAAAATTCCCAGTATTTGCTTCTTACCTGATTGCAGAAATGTTTTTTGTTCGTTGACGATCCAGGGCCTCTGCTCTCTCTTCAAGTTCATTAAGCTGATCTTGAATCTGTTTGGCCTTGTCTTGGTCCCCCAAGTCCTCAGCCATAGCCTTGAACCAAACAGTAACTCATTAGGCACTACTCTCTACCACAGAGCTAGTCAGAGAAATGAGGGATAGACCCATGAATCAGCCACCTAACCCTATTCCAGTTGCAAATGTTCTACCCTGCACGGTTAGAATACAACAAAGAGCTGAACAGCTCAAGGCAAAATAGAACTTCTTACTCTGAAGAACTCTGAAAACCTTTGAAACCCCTTAAACTAAGGAAGACGTAGGAAACACTAGTCCCAGAATGAGGAAGGCAAGTCAGATGATTTAAGTTACAGGTTTGATTAAAATTTAATATCACTATTTACCAGCCAAGGAAAAGAATTACTATTTCCGCAGCTGTCAGTTGCCACTTATTTCAGGGAGCTGGAGAATCACCTACCACAACACCAGAGCAACAACGGTAGCTTATTATGCCACCTGGTGACAACAAAGAGGAATTGCACCCTTCTGCGATGGAAAACTAACAATTTACATATTCGTGCATAGAAAAATTATGACTAAACAATACAGTTAAGCCAAAGAATGTAGAACTAAAAATTAATACAAACTATTTGGTTTTACTGTATATGAAGCACAAAAGTCTTGAAAAAGGACTGCACAAAAACCCAAACAAAACATGTTATGTCCATCTTTATCTTCAGAGATACTTAAGACCACTTGTTTACTTGACTTCCTGGTTTTGGCTTCTCAGCACTGTTCAGTCTATTCGTTCCAGGAGGTCTACATGTAAAATAGTGCAGTGGCAAGTAAATCTTTCAGCAACGTATTCTTTTTAATATAAATTACTGGCCATAAAGCGATGACAAGTCAGTCACCCCTAAGTAAAAGACAATTTAACACAACCTTTTCTTTTCCTGTGTTTAAAAGTACTTTCAAATGTTATTATAGGGCACCCTGGAAAAAAAAAAAAAAAAAAGAAAAAAGAAAAAGTTTCTAAAGCAAAACAGCTTAAGACATTCTTGTTTAAAGGACACAAAAAGAGACAGCTATAATTGTTGGCAATTGCCCATAGAAAAAGAATGCAATAGCTTTAATTGGGTTCTAAGTGTTCCGAACCCAGCAATGAACCTTGAGATCCACCTTTTAGCTGCAGAGTTAAAGTCAAGCTTACTGCTGACTACTGCCAAAATCCAGGTGAGCTCCAGTTCTTCAAAATCAAAGACTGCATTAAGCTTGCAGGCATCATCTCATCTCTCACCTTCTCCTTTAACAGCTGAGTTTTCTTCATAGCATAATTCGGAGGTGCTTTTCTGAACCTTTCCTTCTCTTTCACAATCTGTAAGATGCAGAGGGACCAGCGAGAACATGCAAATGTGAAATGTCTATTTCAATACTTGAACACTAGAAGCAACAGATCAGTATCACCTAAGAAATGTACTTACTGCCACAGAATTTTACTCATGCTCTTTCTCTGCTGCATTTTTTAATTTGTGACTTGGTAATGAGTTACAGCTCCATTCCCCTCACTTATGACCTACAAAAATCTGATGCTAGTCACACTTGGTCAGTATTAAGCAAGTATTAAACTGCAGAAACTGTGATAAATGCATCTATCACGATGCTGTTAGCTTTTCAGAACTTGAGAACCAAGTTGCCATACTCAGGTTAGGAGCTCAGAGCTCTGCAACACAAGTTCAAGAGGAGGTAACAGGGCACAAAGGATGAAGTAAAGCAGGAGTGAGCACCAAACAGCAGCTAGATCACCTAGCTACTCTATCCAGCTATGCAACTTCATTTTGAGCCTTTTATTTCCTTCTTGGGAAGCAAATGCCATAATCATTTTGCTTTGTAACAGCTACCACTCTACTCCAGGAGTTCCTGTCACCTTTAAGCACTACCAACAGCCTTACTACCACATGCTGTTTACCTCCTCAATGTCCTGGTCATTAAACTTGTAGTTGAGGGCTTCTTTGATGGACACTTCCTTCTTGTTTATCTCATCTAGCGTGGGTAGCTGCATCCCAGCAGAGAACATCTAAACACAAGAGACAAAGAAGTTACTTTCCACTTAAAGTATCCTTGGCAGAAGGCTGCTAAGAAGTAACTAAAGTCTGGCAAACTTACCGCTTCCTTCCACTTCATAAACTCACTTTCAGTAAACTCCTGATTTGAGACAAACTCCAAACGAAACACACGTGAATCACTGCCATGCCTGCAACAACAAAGTGCAACAACATTCTTCCAGAGCTGTAATCTTGGGTCTATAGGTCTAAACTGATTCAAGAAACCCAAAACCAGACACTTGTGGCTTGCATACTATCCATTCCTAATTTCAGTCAGGTCAGCCACAGTTCAGGAGCCTACATCAGCTATTAGTTGTAATGCAAAGGAATACTAGACAGCGAGTCTGCAGGAAACAGTCGCTCAGTTGTAACAGTAAAACCCTGGGGAAGAAACAGAAACAGACCTCTCTCACACCTAAACCTTACATACCCTATTTGGTGACCCACGACATGATCTTCAGAAACACAAAGCTCCTTCATGTTCGTACCAGTAGAAGTAACCTTTAAGCAGTACTGAATTATACAATGCTGGAGCCAACCCCTATCTAATTTTTCATTCATTGGCCAAAGACAGAAATCGCTAAACATTTTCTGCAGAGCACTACTTTTGGCACTACCAGCTAAACTACTATGCTGCTACTAACCAATACTAAAATTAGTTACCATGGGATAAATTTCACTCAAAGCATGTGGCTCTCTCCTGACATAGCCTAAGAAGTTATTGAGTATCACAATGGGCTTAGGTAAGACTTTTTTATCACTCCACACTTGCACCCACATGCATCTCCACATGCCTTACTGTTTCTCCCAAATGGTTATCATCATCTTGTCCTACCTCACCAGCTTCTTCAAATTACCATTTTACATTGTAACACATATGACAGACCAAATCATGTATGCCTTTATTAAATGATACATATTTCTAACATCTGATTATAACAACAGTGGAGAAAGATGTAAAAGGGTATTGCAAAGCTCAAGAGGCATGTACAAACAATCATGGGTTACTAATGTAAATTAATTGCTCAGATGTCAACACAATCACAAGTCCCTGCATAAGATTTTTTTATAATTCCCATTATGCCCAAGGGAAAAAAAAAAAAACCAAACCCAAACAAACCCAACCCCAACATTCTAGCAGTAAGCAGCATGGCAATGCTCAGTCTGCTTTTTAGCTCTCATCTTCAAACCACACAGAGAACCTTATTTGCTATAAAAAGGACACTGATTCATGAACCGATGAGGATTACTTTGGTATCTTACCGCAACTGTAGTCCTTTGTTTGTCCGGGTACCACCAAGCTGGTAAACCTTTGCAGTCTCTACCACACCAGTTATTTCAGCAACCTATATCACAGAGTAAAATACACAAGAGGAAGGACGCAAGAGGAGTTTGTTTTGTGTTCTTGGAATATATGTGGCATATTCAAACATTTTCAGAAGCGATCAAAAACCTTTAACTAACAATTCTAACTAGATCAAGGAAAGCAAGACTCTTCAGTGTACATTATCAGGTACTGAATTAGTTGTTTGATGCATCACCTTTGAGTTGACAAATTATACCATCTGAATGCTTGATGCAGTTTTTCTGTCTTCTCAGTTTGGCCTTCCTGACCAAATGATGTACACTTTCTTAATTTTTCCTATTTCCTTTTCAATTAAGGCTAGTTTGGGTTAACATATGTCCCAAATGAAATACACCAGTGATGCTCACGTACTAAACACAGTGCCCTCTTGGGACCTTTTTAATGCAATTTTAGAGAATATTATTGCATCCTATGACTGTGCAGTTAAAGCAGTGAAACAGAAAACCAAAACTATGTTCCCTATGACCTTCTCTTCTGAGGCACACTGATGTACTAAAGACACTTTGTAAAAGAGAACAGAGACCACGCATTAGCTTGGGAACAATTCCAGAAATACAGTGTGAATGTTACTCATTCTTACTTGGTCAAAGCAGAGTCACGAACTCTAGTTTGCAATACAAATGATGAGACAAGAGGGCATGAACCAAAACTGGAAGAATAGCCTTTGTTAGTGCTCCCTCTCTCTCACTAAATATATCTCTTCACCTATCTGGTCCCATAGATTTATTTTTAAACCAGTCTCCTCTACTTGTTTGGCAGCAATTATGTTTTCTGGTTATAAGCAGTCTTTTTATGTTAATCACTCAAACAATCACACATACCTGAGAATTTCAAAGCTGCAAATATTATATTACAGCACTATAAAAAGAACTAAATCCCTCGGAACTAAACTCACCCTATAAACAGGTTTGCTGTTGTGATTTCCAATGCCAATACGGACAAAGCAGCCAGTGACTGTCTTGGCAAAGAAGGGCATATGACACCAGCGTTCCAGCTTGTGTCGCGATAATCGTACTCTGTTTAGTTCTTCAGGCAGGGACACTGGCTGGGACTTAGGAGGAATTTCTTCTTTCCTGATTTAGGAAAAGTGAGAAGGAACAAAGAAAAAAAGTAGAGACACAATCACCACAAAAGGGTTCCTGAGCAAGGTGCAGCATGATGCTAACTATTTAAATTACTAGTGCATGATGAATCATTCCATTTACTAGTTGACTGTAGGTATGTGAATTTAACATTCACGAGAAAGGCTTAATGCAAAGTCCCGGACTTGCTGCCCGCTGCCCCTGCTACCACAAAGCAGAAAGACTCACACACCAAGGCAGTTTATAGGCCAATACTTTAAGATAGGCCAGCACATACCTCTGCCCTGATAATATGCCAGCGAGTGGAGGCTGCTGAACTACACAACTAAACAAATCTGCAAACAACAGTGTAAGTGGAGCTAAAGGTAACAGCAGGGAACTGAAATTGCAAACCCATCCAAGGTAAATCAGTCCCATGCACCATGATATAGAAGCCAAGGACTCAAATCTGAGCAATGCGAGTGTGCCCAAAGGCAAAACAACTTTAGAGACGCTGCACTGCCCCCAAACAATCCTCTAAAACAGCATGTGTCTACATAAAGTGGATCTCTGTTTTGAACACACATTTCCAAATAATCATCCTTCAGTGTGTACTACTTACTCTTCCTCTTCATCAGAGGATGAAGACCTGGATGAGCGATCACTTTTCTCACTAGACTTATCATCCTCCTCCTCCTCTTCATCATCAGAGTATACTTCACTAGTTTTTAATGGCTGTTTTTTTGCAAGCAATTCAGCTGGGGGAAGGAGAGAACAAGGAAAAACAAGCTGTAATTTTTTTTATGAAAGCTTCCTTTTTTAGAACTGAAACCTTATTGTTTAAATAATAAAAAAAAAAAAGGTAGGTAGCTGTTAATTTTACCCTGGATAAAAGTGCCACATGTTCAAATCCACTAGTAAGCTAAGCACTCTATTGTATATATTCAAAGAGAGAAATCAAGGCATTTCAAAGCACCTTCAGACTCCCAACTTGACTGCACGTAGCCATAAGATGGGCATAAGAATTGGATATACAAGGTAAAACTATTATGATCAGATAACTCATTGTTATTTTGCAAGGGAAAAAAAAAAAAATCTTGTGTTTGAAGAGGAGCTGTATTGGGTTTGCACAGCAAGGTTTTGGTAGCAGGGGGGTTACAGGGGTGGCTTCTGCGAGAAGCTGCTAGAAGCTTCCCCTATGCCTGACAGAGCCAATGCCAGCCAGCTCCAAGACAGATCTGCCACTGGCCAAGGCTGAGCCCATCAGTGATGGTAGTAGAGCCTCTGGGATAACATATTTAAGAAGGGGGAAAAAAACCTGCACAATTGCAGCCAGAGAGAGGGGTGAGAATATCGGAGAGGAACAGCCCTGCAGACACCAAGGTCAGTGAAGAAGGAGGGGGAGGAAGTGCTCCAGGCGCCAGAGCAGAGATTCCCCTGCAGCCCCTGGTGAAGACCATGGTGGGCCAGGCTGTCCCCCTACAGCCCATGGAGGTCCACAGTGGAGCAGATCTCCACCTGCAGCCCAGGGAGGACCCCACATCGGAGCAGGTGCATGCCCAAAGGAAGCTGTGACCCCGTGGGAAGGCCACACTGAAGCAGGCTCCTGGCAGGACCTGTGGACCTATGGAGAGAGAGGAACCCACACTGGAGCATGTTTGCTGGCAGGACTTGTGACCTTGTGGGAGACCAACACTGGAGCAGTCTGTTCCTGAAGGACTGCACCCCATGGAAGGGCCCACGCTGGAGCAGTTCATGAAGAACTGCAGCCCGTGGGAAGGACTCATGCTGGAGAAGTTCATGGAAGACTGCCTGCTGTGGGAAGGACCCCACGCTGGAGCAGGGGCAGAGTGTGAGGAGTCCTTCCCCCAAGGAGGAAGGAGCAGCAGAGACAGTGTGTGATGAACTGAACTGACTGCAACCCCCATTCCCTGTCTCCCTGTGCTGCTGTAGGGGAGAACTCGCGAGTAAAGTTAAGCCTGGGCAGAAGGGAGGGGTGAAAGTGTTTTAAGATTTAGGTTTTTATTTTCTCATTATCCTACTCTGATTTTGATTGGTAATAAATTAAACTCATTTCCCTAAGCTGATTCTGTTTTGCCCATGACAGTAATTGCTGTGATCTCTCCCTGTCCTTACCTCGACCCACGAGCCTTTCATTTTATTTTCTCTCCCCTGTCCAGGGGAGGAGGGGGAGGGATAAAGCAGCTTTGGTGAGCACCTGGCATCCAGCCAGGGTCAACCCACCACAGGAGCACAATAAAATCCAGTAGAGTAACAAAAAGGGTTGCATCAAAAGCTGTGGCAAGACAGGCAAGACGATGTGCACCAGTGAAGAAACAAGCAAACATAGACAAGGTAGTACAAGTACAGGAAATACGGTTTGGACAGTTCAGAGATTAAATAACAGAATCTAACTGACCAGTTAAAATACATGAACTAAACATTACTAAGTGCTATTCAATGGACTGTGATGAAAGTTTGCTTTGTTTTCAGACCACTCCAGGGAGGGGTGGGGGGGAGGAACAGAGCTTCAGTGGTACCAAACAATACCCTATGTGGTCATGTTGGGCAAAAGACCAAGGAAAACACAGACACAGAATTCATTCACTCCAAGGTATAGGATTGTTGCATTAATTAGAAACAGGAGGTAGCACAAAAAGCTATAACAATGCCTCAAAAAATTGTAGCAATAGCAACACGCTTTCATACCTGTTCTGTTCTTCCTTTTCTCTCTTTCTGCTTTTAGCTCCTCCATTGCCTGAGATTTCTTGTCTAGCTTCTCATCCCGCTTTGATCGCCGCTCTTTATTATGTGACATGACCTAAACAAATGCACAGAAAGTCCCTCAACACCGAGTTCATAAATTGAAATGCATTAAAACAAAGATCGTTTGCACACTTTGAAAACTTTTCAAATAGAAACTGCTAACAAACTTCAGGTTTTTTGAGTTCATTTTTACAGAGGCAAGAGGGAGGGAAATCAATCTGAAGCATATTAACTTTTTCTACTTCATATAAAAAATAATGAACATATTTACACTTCAGCCACTAAGTTTTAGTCTCAAAACTTCTCCTTAAAGTTAAAAAAAGGACTAGACAAATAAAATGGAAGCAATTCTGCAATGAACAAGTAATGAGGAAAAAATGGATTAATATTCTTCTCATTTGCTTCTCCTTCTGCAAGGCCAGAACAAGGCACTTGTTCTCATTCAACAGCAAAGAGAAAAGTTATGTTAAAAAAAAATACTTAAAGCAGAAATAAAGTTGTCTGTAAAATCTGCAATATGGATCCAAATCTTAGATGTTATAAGTCTTCTAATATTTTCAGTTTCTAACAGGTCTAGCTGGACTACCAGTTAGCAAAGAAAGCAGCTTCTATAATAAGCATAAGAGGCAGTCATTTGAAGTGAGTCAAAGTAATTTCTGGAAGGCACTTTAAAAGAACTCTGCCTAAGATCGTTTTCTATATACATATAAGTCTACATATCATGTATTATATATATGGACTATGTAAGTACATACATACACGTACATATATGGAGTTGAGAGGGGTAGGGAGATGAGATTCACTCCACTTAACATGTGTCTAAGGGAAAACTCATCTCACCTATTTTGATTTAAGTGTTAAACACCTATTCACTATAAAACAACATGGAGTGAATTGCCAGCTGGAGATGCCCTCATCCATTGCACAGACACAAGTGACAAAGTGCAAACAATCAACTAGTTCTTGGCTGAAGTTAGGCAAGATGAATCCCATCCCATTCTGGGAACCTAGCTGCCCAGACTTGAAAAACAGTTAAGGGCAGGGTCTTAACCATTTGAAACTACAGCCAGTTCAGCCATTTGAAACTACAGTTTGGTTACAGAGGCCTCACCCCAAAACCTGGTGGCATCTTCTTTCTTCTGGAGGCGGAAAAACTGTGGAACTACTTCTGTTCCTCCTAGCATTCAAGCTTTTCCTTCACACCCCTACCAGTAGAAACTAAGCATTCTTTCCATTGTATGTGCATGCAAAATGATTAAGACAACAGCCGAGCAGTTTCTGATCTGCCCTCTTTGACTTTTCACTGCAAGACAGATTGCATATGTAATGTTTCAGGCTGAATGACAGAAGTTTGGCTAGAGGAACTGCAAAAGGTTGCTTTCCTGTGCTTATATGGGAGGACTATCACAGCAACTCTAGACACAGCTGCAACTTTGCATTTTTCATTAAAAGGAGTTTTATCGGTACACTCCTCAGTAGGCCAAAGATGTTAATTTCTTTAAATGAACTGGGAAGGCTAAAGATAGCTTGAGCATATCAATGAACTAAATTCTGACCTGCTTACCACATTGCTTGACATTAAGGGAAGACATTAGGGGCAGAGAGAGGCAGCATCCTATCTCCTATTGCCAAGGGAAAAGGGTTTGTTACTAAGGACAGTTTCATTTCCTACCTGGGATTCCTGGATCTGTGTGAGTTTTTTCTTCTCCTGCTCTTCCTCTTGCTTTTTCTTTTTCTCCTTCTTTTCTTTCTTTTTTGCCGTTTTTAGTTTCTTCTTGATTTCAAATCTAGTAGCAGGTATTGAAACAAAAAGAACGTATGAAAGAATGGTCTCTCTCTGAGTAAGCAAAGTATCCCCAGATGCCATCTCAGCCGAACTTGTTAGTAGGCCGTAAGGAACACTTCCACTGCTTGCCCCAGATGGATAACCCTCTAATGCTATCCCATCCCCCATTCACATCTCCTCCCTTCCCCAAGAAAAATAAGGTGAAGAAAAGCTGAACACAGAAAAGTGCAGGGTTACAGACAGCTAACCTAAAGGGCTGAGGAGACTGCATAGTAATGGCTACTCTCCAGAAATCTGTCCTTACTCCATCTTCATCTTCACCACCGTAGTGATCATTTCATGCTGCCTCCAACTCTAAAAACAATTGGCTATTTCACATCATTTGAATCTCAACAGCTACAAACTTGGTTGTTTAAAGCCACTATCATGCTAACTTTTTCATGCTTAAACTCCATCTTTCTACTAGCACTGGTTTGTATAAATATGACTGCAAAGAAGTCACAGTGAGTCCTCCTTCAGCAGCTACATTCCAATCAGACGCAGGCAGTTTCTGCAGTCCAGTTTAGGCACTTCCATTCCTACCTTCAGAAAACATGTCACCCTGAAATCTTATTTTCAGCTACTCTATTCAGAAGAGTAGTGATTTCACTGGAACTGTCCTGTGACTAAGATTCCACTGCACCACAGACTGGTCATTGCTTTAGTGAAGCGTGCATATGGACGAACACCAGGAAAAAAAAAATTACTTAACTTCCAATAACTGAAATTCAAAATATGTTATCCATATATATATATTACACAGTCCATTCTTCTTCAGTCCTTTACACCTAGATTTTGTAGACAAGAAACTAAGTGTGCCAGATGAGCTCATTGCCCTTTATGCCTTTAACATGAAGCATAACACACAGGGCATAGGCATTGTATCGCACGCAGCATCTGCTGTAATCCCAGCTAACTCACAGCACAATGTACATACAAAGAGCTAGACAGTATTCTGAAAGGTTCAACTTACCCAAAAGTTAAACAACTATCCCCCCAACCACCCCCTTAGTTCTACCTGCCAACCCCTTTACATAGGACAGAACAAACTCATTTAAGATTAAATCAGTAACTCAAGCTTAGATTGTTTAGCTTGTTCTTATGAAGTATCCTCCACCATTCATTCTAAAAGACACATTCAGTTACCATGGAACAGTGAATGAAATTAAAAAATAGGTGTCCTTCTACCTGATCTAAATCCAGTCTTTCACTTATTTTTATCCCTTTGAGGAGAGCAACAAACTAGAGAAGACATTGAAAGTAGTACTGAAACCAAAGACAGGCAGGTAGTGGTCTAAATATGACTTGGACAAATGGACAGTCTGACAGTAGCTGGTATTGACATGATTTACTCAACAGATGTCAGACCCCTAAAGAAATTTCTCAGCAAGTGGGGGGGGGGGGGGGAAAGAGGTCACTGAAGAGGGAAGAAACCAGAGTAAACTTGCCCCACGCATGCCAAATCTTTCCTGTTAGAGACATCAGAAGAAAAATACCTTTACTACAAGGAAGCTGCCTGACAGGACAGTGTTACAGTGACAAACAAACCAACCCACAACACTTAAGGTAGAAATCCACAAACAGTCCCTTGAAAATGACATATCCAACACCACTCCTCATTATTTCAAAATCTATTAGGGTCCCAACCAGCTTCACACCCATATAGAGGCAACCCTAACATTGCTCTGTGCTTCACCATTGTTTCCTGAGAAATTCCAGAAGCTCATATACTTCTTACACTTTGTCTGCCTTTTTCCAAAGTATCAACGTGTGACAGCTAATGAAAAAAAGACAGAAGAGAAAGCAGTCCTGACTGTGTGGCATCTAGCATGCAAAGCAGTAATACGGCTACAATGGTAGCTGACAGAACCATGTGTATTCAACAGCTGAGAAACTTTCAGAAACTGACTTTTAGAAGAACATGCAGAATTCCTGCT